AAAAAAAAAGATGAGGCGGTGGGAGCGGGCGGGGCTTAAAGGAGGTGGGCGGGGCTTAAAGGAGGTGGGCGGGGCTCAGAGGCACCGTGGAGACCCCAGGGAGAAACCATAGAGACGGCGCAGAAAGGAGCATAGAGAAAATCCCTGGGAGGACCCATTGGGAGGACCCCACTTGGAGGACCCACAGGAAGGACCCCACAGAAACCATAGAGAGGAACATAGAAAGGAAGAGTAAGCAGGATCCTGCAGAAACCATAGAGAGGAGCACAGAGAACGAACGGGAGGATCCCACAGAAACGACAGAGAGGACCCATAAGGAGGACCCCACTGGAGGACCCATAGGCAGGACCCCACAGAAACCATAAAGAGGAGCATAGAGAGGAATCGTAAGGAGGATCCTGCAGAAACCACAGAGAGGAGCCATTGGGAGGACCCCATAGCAACCATAAAGAGAGCCCATACAAAGAACCCCAAAAAAACCATGGAGAATGATAGAAAGAACCCATTAAGAGAACCCCTGGGAGGACCATAGAGAGGGAAGACCAAAGAGAGGACCTGGTTGGGAGGACCCCATAGAAACCATAGAGAGGACCACAGAGAGGATGCACTGGGAGGACCCCATAGGGAGGACCCATAGAAACCATAGAGAGAAGCACAGAAAGGACTCCACTGCGAGAACCCCATAGAACAGGAAGGACCCCATATGGAGGACCCATAAAACCATAGAGACCCATAGAGAGCCTATAGAGAGGAGTCAGCCAGGGATCATAGACAACACCCCATAGAGACCCATAGAAAACCCCATAAGGAGGGGAGGACCCAGAGACCATAGAGAAACCCCACAGAGACCAGAAGAGGACGAGGATCCTACAGTTGCCCCACAGAGCCCCATAGCCCCCAAAAGCGCCCCACAGAGCCCCACTGCTGCCCCACAGCACCCCATAGCTGCCCATAGCGCCCCACAGATCCTAATAACTGCCCCGCAAAGCCCTGCGGATCCTATTAACTGCCCCACAGAGCCCCATAACTGCCCTGCAGCCACCCCATTGATCCTAAGAACAGCCCCAGTGTCCCACAACCACCCCAGTGCCCCCCAGTGCCCCATAACTGCCCCACAGCGCCCCATAACCACCCCACGCTGCCCCACAGAGCCCCTCACTCACTTGGGGGTCGCTGCTGGGGTCGGCTCCGGCTGCTCGTCCTGCAGAGAGAAAGGGCTCAGAAGGGACCCAGTGCCGCCCAGTTGGCCTTGGGGGGCCCCAGTTCAGTTTTGGGGTCCCCCATTGCCCCCCCAGTTTGGTTTTGGGGTTCCCCATCGGCTCCCAGTTTGGGTTTGGGGTCCCCCGTAAGCACCGGTGCCCTGCCTTCGGGTTCGCTGCTCCCCCATTGGCTGGCAGGCTGCTCAGCCCTCACCCCATTGGCTGTTTCTCCGGTTAGCCCCGCCCCCACTCACCTCAGCGCTTTGGCCACGTGCCCGTGGCGGCGGGGAGGCGGAGCTTCCGCGGGAAGAGGCGGGGCCAGGCGAGGAGGAGGAAGATGATTGGTGGCGCCCACGGGGGGAGGAGGGGGGCGGGGCCTCATTTGTGGGCGGGGCTTCAGGAGTAGCTCCGCCGTTAGGGGCGGGCTCTTTGCTGAGGACGAGCGGGATTGGCTGTTCAGATGTGGGCGTGGCCTGAGCCTCCGCCCCCTGCTCTAAGGGCAGAGGAGAGGGGGATGAAGGGGGCGGGGTTTCCTGTCGAGGGGGCGTGGCTACGCTGCAGGCGGGCGGGGCTTCGGATGGAGGCGTGGCTTCCGCAGCAGGGGGCGGGGCTTCGATTTCAGCGGGCGTGGACTCAACCTGCATGGGCGTGGCCTCGCCCTCAGGGGGCGGGGTCGGGGGGTGAGTGGGCGGGGCTTCTGTGTCAGCGGGCGGGGCTTCTGTCATGGTGGGCGTGGCTTCGGGAACATCAGCCTGGGCTTCAGCACCCGGGGGCGGGGCTTGCTCGTCTGTGGGCGGGGCTTCGGCTGTGACAGGCGGGGATTTGTTCAATGGGGGCGGCGGGTCGAGCGAAGGGGGAGTGGCTTGTGGAGAAGGGGGCGTGGCTTGAGGGGCGGGGGGCGTGGCTTGGCAAGGGGCGGGGCCAGGCTTGCCGCCCTCCTCCTCCTCCTCCTCCTCGTCGTCCTCTTCCTCCTCCTCCTCCTCCTCTTCCTCTTCCTCCTCTTCCTCCCCCCCTTTCAGGGGGGGTCGCGACCCACGGCGGCTGCGGGCGGCGCCCTCGGGGCCTTTGGGGCCTCGGCCCTACAAAAAAGACCCCATTTCTGTCAGCCAAAATGGGCCCCATTCAACCCTAAAGGCCCAGCGGCCCCAAAGGACCCCAAATCCGCCCCAAATCCCCTCCAAACCCCACACAAAGTGACACAATCCCAACCAATGACCCCAAACGTGGCTGAAATCAGCCCCAAATCC